TCCCTCCTTTTCGTCAAAGATTAAAGAAGCAAGAGATCAATGGTTCTGCTACTCAAACTCTTGACGAGCACCTAGCATCCCATGAAAATGGGAACTCATCCTATGGAGTTGAAGTTGTTGATAATATGTCAGAAGCTATTATCCCAGATTCTTCACTACAATTTCTGGACAACGACTATGAGGAGCAAGAATTTGGTGATGATTTTGAAATTTCAGTTCTTAGTGAAAATGGGAATGGATCTATGATTGATTATGGTGGAGCAGAAGCTGATGTTGAAGACTGCATTGATGGAGAAGAGCACCATATTGAAGGTGAAAGCATAAAGTCTTCCCTTCCTGTTGAAATAGAAGATTCTAATGGTTCTCAAATATCATCAGACATGAAAGATTCTAAGCAAAAACTGAGTAATGAGAAAAGTTGGGCCCAGGTTCGAAAGGGCACCAAAATAATTGTACAAGTCGTCAAAGAGGGATTGGGTACAAAAGGTCCCACATTGACTGCTTATCCAAAATTGAGAAGCAGATTTTGGGTTAGTTCTGACATATCTACGCCTGCATAAATTTTTTATCTCTCTCTTTAACACTTCCATGCATTCTCATCTTAGTGTTGCTCCTCTTGAATTTGTCCCCTTTGTAGGTACTAATTACTCAGTGCAACCGAGTTGGAGTCTCGAAGAAAATTTCAGGTGTTGAGCGCACCCGTTTGAAAGTTCTAGCAAAAACTTTACAGCCCCAGGGCTTTGGTCTGACTGTAAGAACTGTAGCTGCTGGTCATTCTTTAGAAGAATTGCAAAAGGACTTGGAAGGTTTGCTTTCAACTTGGAAGAATATAACGGAACATGCAAAATCTGCAGCTCTTGCTGCAGATGAAGGGATTGAAGGAGCCATCCCTGTTTTACTGCATAGAGCAATGGGTCAAACTCTCTCAGTTGTTCAGGACTATTTCAATGAGAAGGTAACTTATCTTTTGTTTATCTAGATGATGCTTGCTTACTTTATGTCATAAGTTCGCATGATCTCTTCTGTATCTATCCACTAAATTATTTCCTTTTTTTATTATTCTTGTTCAGGTCGAGAAAATGGTGGTTGACTCTCCCAGAACACATCACGAGGTATGGCCTAAGCTTAATCTCAGACATGAATTATGTATTGATACAGAAGGAAGTAGTAAACATATACTTGTGATTATAATTCTAGAAAGACTCACGAAGAGGCATGGCCATGTTAACATAGACAGGATAAATTTCAGACATATTAGCCTCGTAGGGAACAATGCATA